GTCCTTTTTTGATTAAAACTAGTTTATTCTTTCTCAATACAAACTTTGTAATACACTTAACAACTTTTATAACACATGCTATAAATCACAGTGATTCACACACTTTACTTACGGTGCCTACTGTTCGCTTGACTTAATTATCTATTTCTATATCTATCTCTTCGATCCCGCTGGTTTTTCTCGCCAGGGTTATATACTAAAAAGGAGGGCGCCTCGAACAAACTCGGGCTTCCCGATAATTCATGATCCTTCGAGAAACTCCAGCGCGCATACTCCCAGAGTCACGTGACTTCCGCTGTCGTAACAATATAATGTTCACAACCGTTTATATACAATGAGTGGTATTGGGATCTGAGACTTTGTGGGTTATAACACCCAGATCTTGACCCTTATTGAATCTTTAGCTTGCTTTCTAGTATTGCATATGTTGTTTTCATGACACTTATGACATTAATCTAGTTTGATTTAACTTAATTTATAACAGCTTCCGCTTTCTTCCAACTAGACCGTTTTTCTGCAACCTCCACACCTCCACTTTTTTTTTTTCTGACAAGCCATTTTTGAGACACCTTGTCAAATGCTTTATGAAAGTCCGGATACGTCATATCCATACCAGTAACCTCATTTACATAAGCAGTAATTTATTTAAAGAATGTTAGAAGATTAATAAGGCGATACTTTCCCCTAGTTAAACCATGCTGACTATTCAACAAAATCAATCAGAACAGTACAACAACATAAGCTAAAATTTTAGCGGTAATTAAAATTTAAATCAAGTGTGTTTACAGGCCACATTCGTAGGTTTTAGAAACCGGTATCGGGTTTTCTTATGGTTTTTGTACTAAGACGTATTGGCTCGTATTGCAAAATATTATGCTGTACAAACAATAAGTGTGAGGCCTAACCTGTTATTTTTTACGCTTTGTTAGAAAGATTAGGTCTGAATCAGGCTTTAGAAGTTAAATAATTTTTCACTTTAACTACCTTGTGAAAAGAATAATGGAACCAAACCAAAAAATAGATCTCGGTCTTTTAGAAGAGGACGATGAATTTGAAGAATTTCCCGCCGAAGGTACTTGCCATTACTAATATTAGTGATATTATTATAATTAAGTAGTATTAATATAGTAATAATACTATTAATAGTAACATAATTCATTATAAAAGCTTTTTTTGCTAAAACTGATAAGGTTGATTTAAAAAAGGTTTGGTTGAAATCTTACGACTCTAAGTTCTAAGTAATATTACCCAAATATAGACAGTAATACTACTGGTTCTAGTACTAATACTAAACAACAACTGAATAAGTGTCTAATGTAAGATTTAGGCTATGATCTTATGCTTAAAACTTTTGATAAAAGTTAGAGGCTCATGAGTTTTATCTTGTTGAATGTAAAACGTACATGATGCATTATGTATCTGCAGTAAAAATATTAGTCCTGGAGTTGTTAATTTTGATCATACTCATAGACATGACTGGGTTGACTGAGTATTATCAGTATCATAAATGACATGCAAAAAGGATTGGGGGGAGGGTGACTGGGTGTGTTCAAGCCTCTGCCTTTTTGCTCTTATGTCCCAAAAGTGCCCCCTTTTTTCAGTCATAATAATGTCTGCAACCACTAAAAGATACATGTAATTACCCTATGTGTATTGGAGCCAAATAACTCTCATTCCCCATAGTCTTCCTTAAATGCCTCTATCCACCCCCTCCAAAAAAAAGACCTTGCGATACTTGAAAAGTGTCCCCCTTTTTAGCTAATGAGTCCCTGCCTTTTTAATGTCTTCTGCACTTTATTGGGTGCCATTTAGGATGTTAGGTAGATATAGAACCTTGAAGATGTTTAACTATCAAACTTGATGATGAGGAGCCCACTTTAAGGTTTGAAGATGGCTTGAATGGATGATGAAAAACTATTACAAGTTCAACATATTAACAAATGCACAACATTTCAAGCTGTTGGTGGAATGTCTATTAGTAGTTGTAGTGTTTTAATGGTTGGTATATAGACGAAATGGTTGTTTACCTCAAAATTGATTATCTTTTGAGTTTGTGTAGTTCTTTTTTTTAATCTGTAAATGTGGACCAAGCTCTGGACATGCAAGTTTTTTTTTATTTACAAAATGTTTAGTAAAGAGATTGCTTGACAAATGTCTGTAGTGAAAAATTGTTAGTGGAGAAATATAACTAAAATTTAAATTGGACCTAGTGTTTTTTGGACTTTTAGTAAAGAAAAAAAAGTTTGCAAAATGTACAAAGCATTATTTTAGGTATATCAAATTATGATCAGCGAAAATTGAAAATGCTTATTATGATACATTTAGTCATAATAACTGTATTTATCATATTTCTTCAAATATATATATATATATATATATATA